AAAGTTATTAAACTAACATTTTTTGTTTTTTAATATTTTGTTAAGTCTCTTGGGAATATACTCGTATGTATGTGTTAATAATCTTGTTTTTTTTTTAACAAATAAAATAGATACGTAAGTAGTATTTGATTTCTTTATTTTAATTTTTCATGCATAGAATTACGAAAATTAAATTAAATTTTACAACCGAGAGCCGAGTTCACAGTGCGTAGTTAACCGCCGAAAAGAGTTTAACTATCCATTTTCATATTTACAGTGCTCAGTTAATAAGTAGTTAAGTAGTTAAATTCTTGCTAAATTAAATTTTTTTGTTTAACAAAATTTACACTTGTATAAAAAAAAAAATGTGGGGTATTCACAACGGTGTCGTAAGTGCTATATGTCGTAAACTGTAAATGGCTAAAAATATTATGAATTATGAATTTTCACAGTGTTAAAAAATAGATGATTGCGGTTTCAAGACCTCTAAACATTTACTTGAGCTTTTAAGGTTTACGGCAGACAACAACACGACACTTACGACGCCATTGGGAGTACCCGAATTGATTTTTCGAAGTTGTATAGTTTCAAGCGATATGAATTTCCACAGCCAACTATGCGACTGTGAATATGAATTGGGGTTACAGAGCCAGAGTAGCCTAACTGGCATTTACAAAAAAAAATACGATACAGCGTAAAATGCATTAATAAGATCGAAACGGTATAAAATTATAGATAGGCTCCCCTGGCTCTCATGATCTCAATTCATAGCTAAACTCTTGTTAGTGCTTAGGTTAAGAAAAGTTTTACTTTGCACTGTGAATTCGGCCCTTAGATGCTTTGCGGTCTAGATNAAAACAAAAAAAAACGATACAGCGTAAAATGCATTAATAGGATCGAAACGGTATAAAATTATAGATAGGCTCCCCTGGCTCTCATGATCTCAATTCATAGCTAAACTCTTGTTAGTGCTTAGGTTAAGAAACGTTTTACTTTGCACTGTGAATTCGGCCCTTAGATGCTTTGCGGTCTAGATATTGTTTTGCTTTTGTTTTTTACGTTGGCTATTTTTATATTGTACGTATATGTACCTACACACATACATACATACAATCATAATTTATTATGAATGTACGCTTGTAGTTTATTTTTAAATAATTTTCAAAGATTATGTTTGATAAATTCATACCTCCGTTTTAAATTTACAATATTTCTATTGCTAATCCTTGCCCTTGTCAGTTTTACTTCCTAAATATCTTTTGTCACACTGTCTAAAATAAGATTCATAAAAAATTCTTACCTCACCGTAATTCTTGTCATTAACTATTTGACAATTTGGACAAATTTTCTGTTAATATTTCTATTATAATTTAGTTCATTAACCCCCCCATATACATAACCCTAACCTTCCCCTCTTCCCATGTCTACACGTTTTTTTCCAAACTATCAATCTTACTTTGAAAAAGTGAATTTTCGTATTATTAGAGATAAGTTGTCTTATTAAAAAAAAAATTGCGTAAAAATCCCCCGCNCCAAACTATCAATCTTACTTTGAAAAAGTGGATTTTCCTATTATTAGAGATAAGTTGTCTTATTAAAAAAAAAAAATGGCGTAAAAATCCCCCGCGCCTAGAAGCACAAAAGCACTGCCAGAATACACTTTCAACAATGCTTTTGGGAGATTCATCATGTTGTACAACTTTTCTCAAATGAAAATATTACTTGCCTTTTACCTATNATAATTTTCAAAGATTATGTTTGATAAATTCATACCTCCGTTTTAAATTTACAATATTTCTATTGCTAATCCTTGCCCTTGTCAGTTTTACTTCCAAAATATCTTTTGTCACACTGTCTAAAATAAGATTCATAAAAAATTCTTACCTCACCGTAATTCTTGTCATTAACTATTTGACAATTTGGACAAATTTTCTGTTAATATTTCTATTATAATTTAGTTCATTAACCCCCCCATATACATAACCCTAACCTTCCCCTCTTCCCATGTCTACACGTTTTTTTCCAAACTATCAATCTTACTTTGAAAAAGTGAATTTTCGTATTATTAGAGATAAGTTGTCTTATTAAAAAAAAAATTGCGTAAAAATCCCCCGCGCCTAGAAGCACAAAAGCACTGCCAGAATACACTTTCAACAATGCTTTTGGGAGATTCATCATGTTGTACAACTTTTCTCAAATGAAAATATTACTTGCCTTTTACCTATTTCGATGCAGGAAAAAAATTTGCTTTTTTNTGCTTAGGTTAAGAAACGTTTTACTTTGCACTGTGAATTCGGCCCTTAGATGCTTTGCGGTCTAGATATTGTTTTGCTTTTGTTTTTTACGTTGGCTATTTTTATATTGTACGTATATGTACCTACACACATACATACATACAATCATAATTTATTATGAATGTACGCTTGTAGTTTATTTTTAAGTAATTTTCAAAGATTATGTTTGATAAATTCATACCTCCGTTTTAAATTTACAATATTTCTATTGCTAATCCTTGCCCTTGTCAGTTTTACTTCCTAAATATCTTTTGTCACACTGTCTAAAATAAGATTCATAAAAAATTCTTACCTCACCGTAATTCTTGTCATTAACTATTTGACAATTTGGACAAATTTTCTGTTAATATTTCTATTATAATTTAGTTCATTAACCCCCCCATATACATAACCCTAACCTTCCCCTCTTCCCATGTCTACACGTTTTTTTCCAAACTATCAATCTTACTTTGAAAAAGTGAATTTTCGTATTATTAGAGATAAGTTGTCTTATTAAAAAAAAAATTGCGTAAAAATCCCCCGCGCCTAGAAGCACAAAAGCACTGCCAGAATACACTTTCAACAATGCTTTTGGGAGATTCATCATGTTGTACAACTTTTCTCAAATGAAAATATTACTTGCCTTTTACCTATTTCGATGCAGGAAAAAAATTTGCTTTTTTNTTTTCCTATTATTAGAGATAAGTTGTCTTATTAAAAAAAAAAAATTGCGTAAAAATCCCCCGCGCCTAGAAGCACAAAAGCACTGCCAGAATACACTTTCAACAATGCTTTTGGGAGATTCATCATGTTGTACAACTTTTCTCAAATGAAAATATTACTTGCCTTTTACCTATTTCGATGCAGGAAAAAAATTAGCTTTTTTAAAAAAAAATCAAAATTGAGTTTGGCTGTTATTCCTCCTTGACATAGATTTTTCATTTANTGCTTTTTTTAAAAAAAATTCAAAATTGAGTTTGGCTGTTATTCCTCCTTGACATAGATTTTTCATTTAATTTTTTAAAAACTTTTACGTTGGCGTCATGAAGTTTTTGCCCGAAATGACCACTAATAAAATTTTAGGAAGAATAACTTTCTAGAACATGTCAACCCTCTAACGAACTTCTAAATTCGCTTTGTGAGGGGTCTCTTACAGAAAGGCTCAAAACATCTCTCTCATGTGGGAGCTAATTGGTTAACATGTTCTACGAAAATAATTCCCATCAAATTTTACTATAATTGCACATATTTATGTCTTAACCTTTTATTTCGCTCAGACACTTATTTTAACAAAATTTTCAACTTTTTTAGAACTACTTAGCCCGGGATGTGAAAGCTTTAGTAGGACATAAAATAAAAATACGAGCTAACTTTTGCAAATCCAACCGCGTTTCAATATCATTGAGCACCCTGTATTGGTTACAATAGAAAATTTAAAGTTGGTATAGATATTACAAATACCAAGAGAAAAAAACCTAGGCACCTCCTCCGTTTTCTACGATGTCATTTTTCCCCCAAACAAAATTTGGACCATTCTAATGTACATAAGGGTGCCTCACCAAAAAACGTTGCGGTTTTTCCAGTGGAATCATAAAATTTAGTATATGTATATTAAGACCAATGCCAAAATACTTAAGAAAAATAATAGGAGTTTGTTTAACAAAATTAGTTTAGAAAATATGTTTTCCAAAAAATTACCTAACACAAAAGTTTCAGCTTTAAGGGTCGGCTTTTTTTATTAACAAAGTTATAACAATTATGTATGTTAAACAATTATATTGGGCTTGAGGCCGCTTCTAATGAAAAAAGTTTTTGGAAAAACAGCAATAATTTACACATAGCCTGCAAAAAAATTGAAGCAATACATACAATCAAAACAACGAAAAATTTTAATGTTTTTTTTCAAATCGGTTCTGCTCACGTAAATCTCAATATTTTTCCGAAGCATTTTGGCGAAAGTCTTAAAATAAATATGAAAATTTTATAATTATGATAGGAAAACTGTACCGATTTTTATTTTTTTTTGTATGAAGTGTGATGCACCTTATTGTATATACATACACACATATTTAATTTTAAGGTAAATTTATCTAATTTCAGTTAACATGTTCCGCTGTCATTTGCTTATGCCTGAGACAAACTGCTGAGAGGCATTTGCTTACAAAATTGGCCCCAAAACTAAAATCGAACGTACCTTGAAAATCTTGCTTGCGTTCTGCTTTTTCTTCGCCAGCGAGATAGGTTTTGGTTGGGTTCGAGCCTTGCAGGCTAAATTTGCATTTTCCACCAAAATAGACGAAGATGCTAATCTAAAGAGTTCTGCTAAATAAGAAAATAGCTGTCAAAAGACAAAAATGACAGCTGAAAGCAAGCGAGAGCCCGCAAACCGCTCGGTATGCGAGAAAAAGTACGCTTCGTAATTCTTGTATGGGATAACGTGAAAACGGCCGGTTGCATATTATTTACATAGAAATATCGACTCGATTCACATTCAATTAAGCACTACTCGAACCATTAAGAGTTAAATTTCGTTACGGTAAATCGAGCTACATTAGCCGCATAATTGAAAAAGCTTGGAGAATAGCTCAATTAACTAGTTTGCAAGTGTGTAAAAATATTTAGCGCAAATTAAAAAAAAAAACACATTTTTTGTTCTTAAACATATATTAATCAGTTGTACGAGTATTTTTAAGGCATTTCAAATAATATTTTCTAACATTCATAGTATATGTATGTACATGTATTACATATTGAATAAAAGCAAACATACATAGATATATTGTACGTCAATATAAATATTAAATTACGTAAAATTACATTTAACTTAATCGTTTGATATGCTATATTAGCCATCTTTGTTTGATTTCTGTTTCATTAAATCTTGCTAAATTGTTTCATTAAATTTAAAGTATTAAATTTTTTGCATTTCACTTACGCTGACAACTCATGGAGTCCAATAATAAAATCTCACTAAAATTTCTGATTTTTCGAAAAATCGAAGCTCCAACAGAAATTTCGATTATTTAGAAGCTTAATACGTATGTACATATATGTATTTGCTTTAGACAAGCGACGATTTGTTAATACATAACAGCATTCGTTTATCGATATTCTCAGCTTAAATTTTCCAACTTAATCAAATTCTTTTAGCGCACAAAGTCGAGCGTCAAAATTAATACTCATTCGTGTATCACAAAATTCTAAATACATACATTTATATTAATCAATCGATCAAAAAACCTTCACAAAACAACAAATTCTTTTCTTCAGTTCTTAAAATTGTTTTCTTCTTAAAAGCATTTATATGAAAATCCAGTTAAATTCAATTAAATTTTATTTATAGTAATTATCAGGTTACAAGTTTCTCGTTTCATATTTGTTTCTTTTAGTTACTTCGCTACCAAAATCTGTAATGTGCGTAATTTGTTTACTAGTTAAGTGACATATTTGTTTTATTTTACATGCATGAAGTATGTATGTATGTTTATTTTTATTTTGTTTTCCCCAATTTTTTTTCTCATTTATAATTTAGAGTGACAGTACTAATGTTAAATTCTCGTTTTAGCGTTTTTCGGTTTCTGTCACATTAGTACAGAAAACTACTTCGCTTTTACAAATTTGTTTTTTTTTTACATTTCGTAAACACACACACAAATGCCATTTGTTGTTGTTTACATTTACAAAAAAGTCGTTTGGTTGAATCCAATTTTCTAAACAAAGTCAAGTTCCAAGCCGGCTTCAATATTGACAGCTACCGCTCTATCCGTTGTAATACTGTCATCCTCATCTCCCAATTCCTCTCCGTCCTCTTCTTCTTCCTCTTTCAGCTTCTTCGATTTGGACTTATCTTTCGTCACAAAGCCCAAAATACTTAGGGCACTACTGCGTCGAGAAGATTGTCCCAACTGCTCGAATCAGGAGTCCACCAGCACATGCCATCGCGCCAATAATTCACCTTTTGCCAAATCGCGTACATCCGCCCAATGCGCCACTTCCTCCGGTCCGGATGAGTTTAATCCTAAACTAAACCAACCGACCATTTCATTCTTTTTCATATTACGTTTGGCATAAACGGAAACCATCAGCGTCACATCGTTCAACTGGAAAAGTGCCACCTAAGTTGGATAAAATGAAATAGATTTACTTAGTAAGTCTTCAAAATTAATTTAAACCACGAGTATACGCTTGCATTACGTACTTGAAAGACGAAGGTCTCCTTAAATAGCGGATGTGGTTGGCCGCGTCTCGTTGATGTTTTCGCTCGCGATATCTCCTGACCTATACTACTAACTAAACATAGCTTAACATAAGTGTCGGGCGCCTTATTCATTGATAAACTACGAAAATGACTACCCTTGACAATTTCCACTGATAAACGCCCCGTAACACCGTTATAACCTAAACCTAAGAGCAATTCTGGCACGCCACCATGTTGCATCGAGGTGGTCGAACCGGCGCTGTCTGATCTCGCCAGACTTAACAAATCACTATTGGAACCCAAAACCTGTGATATGAAAAGAGATTGGGTAAAAAAAAAAATTAAATCGTTTAATAAACAAATTTATATTACAGAAGATGTGCTTCGTGGCTCCAACGGTAGCCAGAGATTTGTCTCCAATTCCAAATCTATTGTGGCAAAACTAACATACGCCTCTCCGATGAGACGTTCTTTGCGTAAACGTTCGCAACCGTATATTCGTACGCGCAGACCCATATTGTTAACTTCTTCTGGGTTAACACGATGCAACAGAAAACTTTCCATATATTGAGGATTTTCGCCCGAACGAATTTTAGTCTTATGCTTTTGCTTCTTATTTGGCAACATAAGAAGGCGGACCTGCAAATATATAGTACAATTAATCAAAAATTTGGGTGTGTTCATTTATGTAAAACTACAAAGCATCGGAATTTCTTCGCTAGTAGATTGTAATGCCAAATAAGGTGACACAAGCTAAAACTTATTTCTAATGCACCACAAATATTTAGCCTGTTGTTTAGGTGTATGCGCATAGAAATTTATAGGTATCTAAGCGGATTGAAATCCACTAGCTGAAATTCCTAAGAGGGACCCGTTTTCTTCAGTTACTATTTATTTCATCGATTAGTGTCATAAGTNGAAGCTAAAACTTATTTCTAATGCACCACAAATATTTAGCCTGTTGTTTAGGTGTATGCCCATAGAAATTTATAGGTATCTAAGCGGATTGAAATCCACTAGCTGAAATTCCTAAGAGGGACCCGTTTTCTTCAGTTACTATTTATTTCATCGATTAGTGTCATAAGTTCATGAACCGCTTCCGTAAGACCGCAAGCAGTACTGCACACCACGTGCATTGGCATTAGTGGTATTCACCGAATTGAGCAAGTGGCCTGACACTCTGGCAAAAGAGCAGATGAGCTCAAGCAACGATTGTTGACAACAGTCGTTACTTCAGCTGATCTGCTCTTTTACACACAGCAGAATATACTATTTCTGGAATCAGAGTTACCTACGCACGTCCGAAGGAATTTTTACGAACTCCCAAACCAGATCCAGACTATCAGCGCTCAACCACTAGACACGTAGTTGTATGATATGTTGCCGATATTCACCGAGAGACAATCACCAACTATCGCCCAGTAAATGCCGTCACCGGAGTTCAGCCTGACTTTGATGCTATTGACACCTGGAACTGTACCGGATTAAACACCTACGTATCCAGACTCGCCATCAACACATCTAATGCGTTTTCGACTTGTGAAGGCGCCTCAGACGGCAACAGCTGCCTCTTCATCTTCCCGCTTAAAGTCACAGATCGGTTAATATATCTTTTTGGTCCGATCGAGGCTAATCAGCAAATCCTGGACTTAATAGTTCCTCTGCAGGAAAATGGTGTGCGGCTTCTTCAATCAACATCAGTTTGGAAATTTCAAAGGCATATTTTTCAGCGAAAAAGGTTATTGTTCTCAACCTCACAGTCGTCAGCGCAGAAAAATTACTAAAGAGTGGATAACATGGACAAGACAAATAGCCAAATCTGCCAATAGCAGACAAAGAGTCTTCTTCTTTGTGAGCAATTACATAATGATTTGCATAGTGGAAGATCGACCTATCTCGGCAGCCAGTTCGAAAACGCCCTATCTCAGAAAATATTCAAGAACGACCTAATTCAGACCTACTTGATTGAGGAACGCCCTATTTCAGAATTTTATTGAAAAACACCTTATCTCAGAATTTGGTTGAAGAACGCCCTATCTCAGAATTCGGTTCGAAAATGCCCTATCTCAAAAAAAAATACATTGAAAATGTACTGAGCACTAAAGCGCCCTTTTTTTAACCGAATTATAAGATAGGGTGATTTTCAATAAAATTCTAAATAGCGTTGTTGAAAAATTGTCTGAAATAGGGCGTTTTCGAACTAACTNTACATTGAAAATGTACTGAGCACTAAAGCGCCCTTTTTTTAACCGAATTATAAGATAGGGTGATTTTCAATAAAATTCCAAATAGCGTTGTTGAAAAATTGTCTGAAATAGGGCGTTTTCGAACTAACTGCCGAGATAGGTCGATCTTCAACTCAGCCATCGATATATAAAATTGGAAATTGTTAAGGACTTTGTATGCCTGAGATCCAGCATCAACACGACCAATAATGTGAGACAGGAGATCAAAAGAATAAGAATAATTCTTTAAAACAGTTGCTACTATGGGCTCACAGAATACAAATCTCTATACATGCCCGTGTTTTTGTAAGGTGAAAACTAATGAATGATGTCTGAGGAAGATGAGAAAGCTTTGATAGTTTTGTGGACAACTATTATATGCAAGCTCTATAACCCGGCACGCGTCGTAGATGAGTAGCAAAGAGAGTTACGAAAGTAACGAGGTTTTAATTGTATAGACTTTATCAAATGCATAAAATTACAGCATCCTGCTCTACCTTATACGAAAAGCTCTTTATTTATTTTCAGATTTTAACAAACCTGCGTATGCGTCGTCTGTCCATTGCCCAAAGTAGGTAGGCCTCGGGCTTGCATCACGTGCACTGTCATTTTGCGCATCGGTGCATCGTACAGCAATGAAATCTCGATACTACCACTTTTACCATAGAATTGGTTCTGCACGGAAGTATCGTCCGATTTGATGGAACGCAAATCGCTGGTATCGAAGAGTGGCTCCTAAAACAATAAGTAAAAAATAGTATAAATAAAATAAAAAAGTATTTCTTTAAAATAGCATTTGTCGCACTTACGTCTTCATTATTATTATTACTTGTGTTGTTATTATTATTATTATTATTATTGCTATGCAAATCAGGCACATCATCTAAACTGTCTTGACGCACAGACGACGTCGAGATCTTCTGATATCTGCTGCTACTGCTATTACTGCTGGACTTTAACAAATCAGCCCGATTGTCAATACGCGACTCCTTCAGGGAAGATGAAGCGCTGCACTCGCTCGATTTATTCGTACCACCATTGCTCGGAAAGCGGTCTGCAAATCCAATTGAAAGTCAACTATTATTTTTTGCTGTTGTTTTAGATTACCGAAGAAACTAACCTTTCCTATCGCCGGTCAATATGCCCGTATGACTGTCAACGGACGCTTTCTCGGAATCATTTGAACTGCACTCACTATGCGAGGACGGAATACCAACTTTGCCGCGTTCCGCTATGGCCAAGGGATCGCGGGACGAATCGAAGCGTGGCGTTATCGTAACGCGTTGCAATTCAGTCGGTGTATAATTGAAGCTCTGTTGCGGATTTGGCGGTGACGGTGGCTGATACGAAGACTGCTGCTGCTGATGGACACCGTAGCTGTTGAAGTGGCCATTTGCTGAAAGATTGCGTGACTGTTGCAAGCGTAAGCGGCGCAATATATCCTCCTCGGAATCAGAACTGGTATTATCATAGCGACGTTTACGTGCTAAAAGAATCAAAAAGAAAAAAAAAATATGTATCTGAAGTAAATGCACTTATTCAAAGAAAAAGTAGCTTCTAATAGCTTTCGACCCTCGTCAGACTAACTCTTTTATTTAAAATTGAATGGCCTTATTCATAAAAAATAAACCACTTTTAAAGAGCTTTATAAAATGACAGTTTCAAACATTTTTCCATTTTTCCATTTATAAACCTTTTTTAAAGCTACTTTATTTTTTATGAATAAGGCCATAAATTTATAGGTCCCCCATTTGTGCGACAACATCAAGGGGCATACCACATATTGGAGGAGAAGCGCGGCGTAGGGCTTAGCTAGTGTTTTTTTTCATGGGATTCAATACAAATCAACTAGATATATTGGTAGATAACGGAGTAACATGTCCTGATACACTTCTTGGGAAAGCCTATTATTTGGAACCGATAAAATATTTGGAAACTTAACGGGACTATTTATATTTAAAAAATTGTACGGGTTTTCGCGGAAAAACCTGGTTTGTTCAAAAAGTAGCCGAATTAATAAATTGCCTTCGTATTTTGGAATAAATTTTTTATAAGAAAGTTTCTCATGCCATCGTATTGCCTGCTAAGGGGCGATCCAAGTTAGGAAAAACATTTTCTATAGTTATTTTTTTTTTTTGTAAAAGTGAAAAGGTGCCAAGTCCCTTTTTGAAATTGCTCAGGAGAGACGAATCATGTAATTTAGAAATAGAGATTTTTTCAAAACCATTTCGATTGATACCCATATTGTATTAAGTTATTGAACTTAATTGCGTAACATATTTTTTTAAATGAGCTCTCTTACACCTTTTGTTATTTGACATTTTAATTTAAACAGGTAGCAACTCTTTTTTAAACCTAGCTATAAACCTTCCCCTCGCTCAGATGCACACCTAGGTGCACGTCCTTCTACAATTGGGCTACGGAAACATAGAGTCTATCGATTGAAATATTTAAGCAGCTTCTCACCGATTTATTCGGTAATCGAAACATCAAAAGTTAAAAAAAGAAGAGCCCAGTATTGAAAAAACTTAGTTGTTCAATTTGAAAAAAAAAAAATATTTATATATGCTGCACACGCTCAATAATGGTTTCTCCTTCTACTTAATTATAAATTACAATTATTTACATACGCACACTTACACATCTTTTGCGAATATTTTGATGCAATTATCTTCTCATCGCAACAATGTAGACCGTGACGAGCATGAAAGCACCATTTGCGATGTACATAAAGAAAGAACAAAAACATCAAAGCGACGACGCCAAAAAGCGCACCCAATACGGTTGTTAACTCAACGGATCCTTAAGTAAAATAAAAATATGAGAAAGACACATTAATAAAAAATAAATAGGCATATTTAATTAGACAACAATAAAAATGGTGCCATTAAGCACGAATGTCCTTCAGCGCGTTTACTTTATATATACGTATATATGTAAGTATGTATGTATGCATTTGTATGTATTTGTATAGACACATTCATTAGGGTGCATCACCAAAAAAAAAACTTTACATATATTAAGATTCCCGCCAAATTATTTAGTAGAAATATTCAGAATAACATACGTGAGCTAGACCTATTTGGAAATATCTCCTTAAATCTAATTACATATTTCGATTTCGTTTGATCAAATTTTTAAAACTTTTTATGCAGACCTTTTAAGCTTAAATTTTTCTATCATCTGAGGTGAAACTTTAAAACAAGATATTTTAAAATCTACTTTAATTTATAAAAAAAAATCTCGATATTTGGAGGCAATTTCAAATGGGTCCAGCTCACGTAAATCTTAATATTTTTCTGAAATATTTTTGGCAAATGTTTTAAAATATAATAATTTTTATAAATCCAATGGAAAACCAGTAGGAACCAATTTTTTTATTTTTTGTATAGAGAGTGATGCACCCTAATATTTTAGTATTTGTACTTGCAGNATTTATATATATGCTGCACACACTCAATAATGGTTTCTCCTTCTACTTAATTATAAATTACAATTATTTACATACGCACACTTACACATCTTTTGCGAATATTTTGATGCAATTATCTTCTCATCGCAACAATGTAGACCGTGACGAGCATGAAAGCACCATTTGCGATGTACATAAAGAAAGAACAAAAACATCAAAGCGACGACGCCAAAAAGCGCACCCAATACGGTTGTTAACTCAACGGATCCTTAAGTAAAATAAAAATATGAGAAAGACACATTAATAAAAAATAAATAGGCATATTTAATTAGACAACAATAAAAATGGTGCCATTAAGCACGAATGTCCTTCAGCGCGTTTACTTTATATATACGTATATATGTAAGTATGTATGTATGCATTTGTATGTATTTGTATAGACACATTCATTAGGGTGCATCACCAAAAAAAAAACTTTACATATATTAAGATTCCCGCCAAATTATTTAGTAGAAATATTCAGAATAACATACGTGAGCTAGACCTATTTGGAAATATCTCCTTAAATCTAATTACATATTTTGATTTCGTTTGATAAAATTTTTAAAACTTTTTATGCAGACCTTTTAAGCTTAAATTCTTCTATCATCTGAGGTGAAATTTAAAAAAAGATATTTCAAAATCTACTTTTATTTATAAAAAAATCTCGATATTTGGAGACAATTTCGAATGGGTCCAGCTCACGTAAATCTTAATATTTTTCTGAAATAAAAATATAATAATTTTTATAAATCCCATGGAAAACCAGTAGGAACCATGATAAAAATATAGTAAGGTAGAACCGCTGACAGTCACTTTTAAAATTCTTGACGTTTCCAAACAATTTAATTTTTAAATTTACTCACAAACTCACACACACATTTTCATTTTCAATCTCAAGCAACAACAATTTCGAACAATTTCAATTTTTTATTTTCACTTTTATATGATTTTAAAATGTTGGCAAACNATTGGATTTTCCCATAAAAATATTAACAACGAGGAGGGCATACTCATACTTATGCAAACATATATGTATATACATATATGTATGTTTTCACACTTCGAAACAAAAAGATTGTATACTTGAATCAAACCCAAATCTAGAATTGCGGTCACAAAAGTACGGTAACTTCGAAAATCTTATATCAAGAATTCCTGCTAGACCATAAATTCCACTTTCATGATTATTGATATTTATAGAACGTTTAAGGTCCAGTTTTTCAGTGCCAGTTTAAACTTAGATCACGTAAACTGCGTTTAAATTTATGTGCATATGTAACAGCTGGCTGACATTTGATGGGCTAATATTACCTTAAACCAGCTGCCTTGAGCATTCAAACTAAGTTTGAACCACAGTCAGATTTAACCGTGCACTGAAAAACTTACCCTAATGCCGTATTTCCACTAGGCATTAAATTACATAAATTTTGATGAAAAAGTTGGGCACTAAAAAATACCTACTCAATTACGGTAAGAAAAACTGTCTGTAATGACAGTCGCTTCCATGTAGAAATTCGGCATAAGACTGTAAGCATTTTAAGAACGAAAAATAGAAATTTTATTTTAGTCGGACGTGTTTTTAGAATACAATTTTTCTCTTAGTGTNTTAATGCCGTATTTCCACTAGGCATTAAATTACATAAATTTTGATGAAAAAGTTGGGCACTAAAAAATATCTACTCAATTACGGTAAGAAAAACTGTCTGTAATGACAGTCGCTTCCATGTAGAAATTCGGCATAAGACTGTAAGCATTTTAAGAACGAAAAATAGAAATTTTATTTTAGTCGGACGTGTTTTTAGAATACAATTTTTCTCTTAGTGTTTTTATGTGTATGACAATATAAAGTAACGAGTTTACCGTTGCATAGTTTTCATGACGTGTTGACAGCTAGCGCTTCTTAAATTTTAACCGAAGCATATTTATACTATAAATTTTTAAGCGGCATACTGAGTCTTTGCCAGACAAAGATAAGTTTATTTTAAAGCTGCAGTAGTCGAACCTTATATAACAAAGGCTCGTTTAGGAACCGAAGGTATCCTACACCTAAACACTTAACTACTAACTATGTATTCCTGGCGTGTTTCTAATATGTATACTCAGCCGGTTAGTTTAGAATATCTTGGTTACTCTCGTCAGAGAACGTTTAAAAATAACGTTCTCTGTCTAGAATATTCTAAAGAAAATTTACTATCCTCAATACCTCTAAAAATTCACAGAGGTTTATAAAAAATAAAGCTCTTATAAAAGCTATTGAGATGTTGCTTTAATTTTGCACACCAACCGAGTACCGTCAATATTATTTTTTTCGAGAAGAAGTAATAATTGAAACATATTTATTTTCTCGAACTTCTGGGCATTTAAAAATTAATCATAAAATTCTTAAAACTATTTATTGAAAGAAATACATCAATAACTTATTTTACCAAATTTGTAGCTTTTCGCAGGGATCACACGATTTGTACATTTGTACAGATCTGTACATTTTGGCAGTCACAGAGTAGAGTTTTCTAGATATAACACTATACGGTAAAATCAATTTTTTTTGCTGGGTATTGGACCAGACCAATTTTTTTAAGAGATTGAGTCATAACTAAAAAATAATTTCTGCGCTTTTCGAAGTCAGCCTCCGATATCGAGAAATTGGCCTTCGAATTTCGAAATAGGACCTTTAGTAAAAAATTATTGTATGTAAACAACTAAAAAAGTCAAACTATAGACTCTATATACTTTTATTTAAACGTTATATAACTTCTTTTTTTTTTTGCAAACTTATATTACAGTGTGTAAGGAGTAAGGATCTTCGAAAAATTAATACCTTACTTTTAAACAAATTTTGAACTGATTTTCAAAAAATTGGTATCGTTGTAAAGGNTTTTTTTTTGCAAACTTATATTACAGGTGCTGTAAGGAGTAAGGATCTTCGAAAAATTAATACCTTACATTTAAACAAATTTTGAACTGATTTTCAAAAAATTGGTATCGTTGTAAAGGTGATTAAACCCCTTTCTTCCGGTATGCATATTTTTATACCTCGTATATAAAAACTTGAAAAACAAACACTTAAAAGAAAAAATACAATTTTTTTTTATTTTTAATTTTAATAATTATTTTAATTTCCTTCAATAACCCAGCAATTAATAATTAGTTATAATTAAAAATCATAAAAAAGAATTATGATTAATTACCATTAAAAAAATAATCAAATAATTAAGTTTAATCAAATATTTTTTTTAATTATTTGATTGTTTTTAATTATTTCATTATTTCTAATTATAAGATTATTTTTAATTATTTTTCCGAATAGATAGAGCTGTGTTTGGCAGGCAAATTTTTATAAATTAGTATTAAATAATTGAAACCAAATTCACTGTACGTCTAAATACTTGCACTGTAGTTTCCAAGACAGGAATGATTTCTTACAGACATTGTTAGCGGTCTTTACTATTCATTTTCAGAAAGAATTTTGTAGAGGGCACATTGGGGCAGATCTTATATATAGGCAGAGATCTTACACGTATGCATATTGGCCGCGTTTTTGTTATTCTCCTTGAGCATTTATCTTATGTTACTGTATTGATTCTCATGACATGTTTGTTGAAATAAATCATAAAATTGAAAATGAAAACCAAAAAATAATTAAAATAATCAAATAATTATATTATCATGCAATTAAAACAAATCTAAAATAATTAAATAATTATATTAATCATGGAATTAAAAAAAAAAATCAAAAATAACGGAAAATAGTTAAAAATAACAAACTAATCATGCAATTAAAATAAATAAATTAATTAATTTTCTGTTTTAAAGGTAATTAGTTATTAATCATTAAAAAGGTGCAAATAGTGGTATTTAATCATTAAATGGCTACCCAAAAACATGCTTTAATTAATAATCATTATGATTATTAATCATTATTTAACAGGTATGATTTTGTATATGTATAATTTGTTATATGTAAAAGTTCAAAACACATGGTGCTTTTATAAATTCGTAATCTTATCAGCACCTATAGAGCGTGTCAGACGGCGCAATATTTAAAACATTTCCACGAAACTCGCTGTCAAATTAAGAAAGAGAAATTTTATTTCGATGTGTGAACAGCCACATATCGCAAAGCAGTTTCAGAAATGAAAGTTGCAAGATATGACTGCAATTGAGAAAGTGCAAATCGATTTCGGAAATATATTTCAACTTACTCGTACTGCACTAGCAATCTCCACTTGGCCTTTTGGATCTAAAAAACCTCTTTCGAAAGACACTTTAGATGCAAAGTTTTACTGCTCATGCAACTGCTTTCTGAAATATCTTAATTTTACAGCCTTTTCGAAATATATTGCATTG